AGCACCAGTTGCTGTTCCAGATAATGGGATAATGGGTCCCAAGCCTTGTCTTGAAAAGCATCCCCAAAACATTCGTCTAGGGCTATGTTTCACGGTGGTAGCAACACAAGAAAGGTTCTACTCATCTTGCGGCTTCCGCCACACTCTACTACACCTGTTTTGTTGGAATTGGGAAAAGGTTGATTCGTTACTCCACATGACTTTTGCCCAATCGTGCTTTGTCCAACTTTGGTGTTCTAAAGCCCATGCAAGACGCATTTCCATATTTGCTGGTGAGATTAAAGGCTTGCGTCGAACAAGACAATTTCTTAGCTCAGCTTTATGAAGTATTCGAACAATTGTGTTGGCTGAAACATCCTGATTGGTCTTCTTCTTCCAAAGTTGTTAAACTTCAGCAGTACATAAGCGACGATTCTTTCCCTTGCTATTGATTACAAGTCGCTTAAGCCGGTTTCGTTGCGAAGGTTCAATAAGGGGCGGACGACCAGAACGGGGCCTTGAATTAGTAGTTCCGGTTTCATTCATTCTTTTCAAAGTGTCAAATACTGTTGACGGCCCACACCCGACAGTCGCGGCAATAGTTCTATAACTGTCGCCACGTTGACGGCAATAAAATATAGCGCCACGTTGTTCTTTTGTTAATTCTTTACTCATTTTTATTGATTTCGGGGAATGAAATTTATTTTGAGTTAAAGTCAAAATAAACAAACAAAATGCGCATTTATTAAGTTTGATTTATGTAAACAAATTCTGGAACGTCATGTGACCATAATATTATTAAGTTACGTGACGTTATTAGCATGTAATCACGCTTAAAAAGTGGTGTTCGGAGACTTTTGGTGACCCTCTGTATTAGCTAAAGTATCTAAAGGTTAAAAGTGATTTTTAAATAAAAAAGCTATTTTAAAATTTAAAGATAATTTTATTAATTTTTTACATTAAAAAAAGAATTCTAAAAAATGTATAAACTTGTATTTTAATTTGCATTTTGACTTATATAATTGTTAAATATAATTTAATTTAATAAAAAAGTATTTTAAATATTAAAGTTTTTATTTTATGATTTGATTCAACTTAACTTATTAGAAGCTTTAATTAAAAGTTATTTCTAAACATTATAAAAACTTTAAATATGTTATAAATGACATTTTTTAGTAAAAAATAAATACTTATCTATTTTTTACTTTATTTAATAATAAAAGTATTAACTTTTTTAATATTTAAATATTTAATTTTTTTTTATTTATAAAACTTCTAATTATAAAATAATTATCATTTATTTGCTATCAAATTTGAATATGATATTATTATTTTAAAAAATAATAAAAAAAAAATAAGTAAATTAAAGACTTAAAAAGATAAATTCTTATTATTACAATTATTTTATACATACTTTAATAATTCTTTATATAATAAAAGAGAGAAAGAAAAGTTATTAATAGTTTATTATATTGAAACATTAAATAAAACTCGTATTAAAAGAATAAATATTTATTTAAACTAACTTGTATTATTTTATTTTAAATAAGGATCTGTTATAATTATAAAGATTATTCAATATCCTCCAGATCAACAATCGTTTTTTCGGTACAATAAGAAAATTCGTTTATAATAGGGGTTTGATTATCATTAAATTCTATATAATCACAAGTACGATATTCACGTTCTATATATTCTTTATATTTTGAATTTTTCGTCATTGATGGTTTTTGTGATTTTCGTCGTTCCGAGAATATTCCAACCTTAGATATTTCCAACCTTTTGTTTGTAATGTAAAATAATTCTTCAATCCCTTCTACGTTATTAGTTGCGAGCAATTGCAGCATTCCTTCACCTTTTTTAACTTGTTTCCAATGATCAGCGGCGTATTCTAAACCCGTATTTTTTAAAAGATTATTGTTATATTTCCACCCCAACAATATGAATTTATGCCAATTTTCATTATCAACAATTTTTAACCATTCATTTATAACCAATTTATTTAAGTTATTAAGCATCATCATATCCGCAAGTTTAAAAGTGTGTTCGAAATCATCAAAACTTTCTAGATCCAACAATTTTCCTAAATATGACCCACAATCAAGTTCGAATTCAATATCTGAAAACGTATCATCTTCAAAAAAATCTTCATATTTATTATCGAATCTGATTTTATCGACAGGTATAGATTTTTCTTCAAGAACGGTAACTTGAACAAACAAGTTGACAACTTTTGTTTTTTCATTTCTTGGAAATATATAATCTAATGAAAAGAAATTATCGTACAGACAACTTGAAACAGTTTTTGATCCGTTAAAAGTAAAGTTCCCACTTTTTTCACATTGTCTGATCACAGCTTTACGCTTAGGTAATAACTGACTAATATCATATTCTCCAATTCCTAAAATAAATTGTTTCCGTCTCGTAGTGATACCTTTTTCCTTTTCATACTTTGTTTGAATCGCATGAACACGCAAAGACATTCCTTTCGATATAATTCCGTTTGGGTACAAGGATAATTCCCACAAAGTAGGATGATTGAAACTTTGATTTTTTGTCTCAAAGGATCTTTGTGGCAACCAAAATTTTTGGCTATTAATACATTCACCTTGAGAGACTTGTTTTATCCATTTTTGAAAATTTCCAATTTCCCATACAAATGTGTTTGCGATTTCACTAGTCATTTTTTACTCCTTTTGGAAGGGGGTAGGTGATAGGATAGGGTAAAAGTATATATATATGTTAATATGTAACTATAAGCGAAGTCAATCTGACTATAATAACAAGTATTCAAAAAAAAAAAAAAAAAAATATGCAATGCAATTTTTCTTTTTTATTTAGAAATTTGATGATTTGTCTATGATGATGTAATTGATCAAATCGAGTAACGTTCCGGAAAAACTCAATTATTTCAATCATTCAGGAATGGCAAAAAGATTTTCATTAAAACACCTAGTGATCGCTTAAATTTACAACTTCATGGAGAATGAAAATAAATCCTCTTTTTTTTCTTGAGGAGGATATGGCAATCACGTGATCGACTGTCCCTTTACGTCATTAAAAGTCATTGATGTATCACAAACTAAGGTTCCAGTTGTTGTCGTAGCTTCCCGCAAAAATGGTAGATCAGCACACTGATTTGTTCCTATAGATAAATGAATCTGGGTCCACTGATTGACTATTTTGACTATTGATTTAACTTTTAACTGTTTGTTACTAAAAGCAATACTTTTGAGCAACGTTAAAAAATTTTTCGATTTTCATTTTTTTTTTTTTTTTTTGAAGAAACAATTACAATTTTGCTTTGTACATACATTTTTTAAAACAAGGTGTGAATTTATTGAAACTTTTTGCTAACTTTTATTGCAGCTCTAGTTTATCTATTTTTTTTTTTATTTTTTTTTTTGGTCATTCAATTAACCTTTAATTTTTAATATCTATATCTCAAAGAAATATAAAATAAATTAAAATGACTGAATTCGAACTCGATCCTATCGCTATTTACGATAATCTTGTAACTTTGCAAGTTAAACCACAATCAGGAGGAAAGAATGCTAATAACGAGGCCCAATTATTATCCAACTTACGAATAGACACAGCTTCTGTCATTAAGGAAATTGGTCGATACCGTGCATGTGACTCAGGATCATGCCTTTATTGTCGTGAATGGGCTTCATTTGTCTACAAGAAAAACCATACTTGGACAGTCAAAAACCAAGCTCAAAACGTTAATGGAGATAACGTTGGAGGAAATAACGTTAAGAAACCAAAGAAGGCCGCGTCGGATATTCATCAACACTTTTGTGATCTGATTCTTCAGCATGGAGAAAAGATCAAATCATCCGGATCATCTAATGAAACGGCCGATCTAGTTGATGTTATTGTTCAAAAAGTTTTTTCATGGATTAAATCACCAAGCAATTTGTATGAATCACCCGATACCTTTGCTCCTGTAGAATTCGATACGCATCATCAAGTGGTACCAAACCTCGAACATGAAAATGATCCGTCGTCTCTTATTGATGTAATTGGGATTGAAAAATCTCATTTATATATTCAAAAGGATTCGTTTCCACTTCTTAAACATATTAGCAAGGTTCAACAATGTAACCATACTAAACCGGATTGGAAATATCCTTCCGACATTGACCTTGATCGGAGAGTATTTAATGATCATTTATTTAAGGAGGCGGATAAAAATGAGGAGGCTTTAAACGAAAGTTTAGGTCAAGTATGGTCACATGTTAATAATTTTCTAACTTCAATGCTTGAATTGGAAGCAAAACGAGATTTATCTTTGGGGAAGGGTTGTCTAGCGAACCTTTCAAAATTCTTGAAAGAATATCAGGACGAATGTCTGTTATTTCATGAATATTGGGCGCCAGTTGCTGAAGCTTATAAAAAGTCGGGTAAATCCAAGAAAGGGACCCTTACAAATTTGGCAAATGTTGAGGATATAGACACTGCATTTCACACGTATATTAATAATGTTAAAAATGTGATTTCTCTTTGGGAAGGAGGTTTTATTGAAAAGTCCGTTAATGACGCAACACAATTTGGAGATGAGGTACAGCGAACATTAGTTAGTATTTTAGAGGAAAGTGAAGAAAGGTTAGTTAGCGGTCGTGTTGTAGAATTTCATAATAATATTTTGCAAAAGTGTGGTGATGCACTAAGAACAGTGAAAGACATTAAATTATTATTATCGAAACGTGTGTCAATATTACACACAGAAATATCCCAGAAAAGTAAAGAACTTATCCAAGAACTTGAAGCACTCGAGGAAGCCTATAAGAATGAATCCCAAAAAACAACGATAGGTCGATTGGAGAAGGCAAATAATAAAGAATTTCGTAAGCGGATCAAAAAAATAGAGATGGCAGTATATGGATCTAGGCAAAATGCCATCATTTCAATTGGAAATTTGTTTCCAGTTACTGATTTTACAGGAATTTTTACTAAAAGTTTGGAAATTTTAATGATGGAGGGTGAAATGTGGGAAGCTGTTCAATTAGGACGGCATTACAAAAATTATGAATCAACGTCGCAGAAACTTGTGTCACAAAGACGGAAAATATTAAATAATTATAAGGAGGGGATTGAAACGGGACGGAAAACTTTGTCTGGTATTATCGGGCGATTGTTTTTAAAGGAAGCTCAGAGACAGCAAGATGAGACATTGGCTCTAATGAAACAAGAATCACTTTTACAATCGATAGAACAAGGTAAACAGGAGTCTGGGAAGAAGAAAAAAGGCGAAAAAGATCAAAGTATTGCAGAATCGGTAGAATCTTTAACTCCTACCGAGAGTTCAAAAAAGAGTAAGAAGAAGAAAAAAAAGAGCGGTAACGTTTCAGCTACAAACACGCATATTCTTACACCATCAATGGGCAAAGAGACGGGTTCAGAATCTAAATCCGAATCGCCTGTTGATGCAAAGCCTGCAATAAATCCTAAAATAACGAACCACCATGAAAACGTTAATGATTCACAGAAACAATTAAGGCAACAACAATTTTTAAGGAATATGATAACTGAAAATAGTTCGAAAGACACGAATAGTTCTTCGTCCATGAGCTCAGAAACAGCAAGCGCACCACCGCTCACAAGTTCAACTCATGATGAGAAGAATAAAGCTAACGGATTGCCTAGCAAAACCCATGAAATCAATGGGCGCCAATTATCAGTTCCACCAGGGTTGGGTCCGATACCTGGTGATGCAAATCCAAGACCTATTCCCAATGGTCAGACACTTCCATCGAATGGAATCTATGACGATGTTAGTAAATTAAACCTTGATACTTTGAGCAGGTCCGATTTGACAATGCTCATTCAGAATTTATTTACTGAGAAAGCTCAATTGGTGTCCACTCTGATTTCGGTGCAACAAGAAGTCAAGGCAATGACTGATCGATATGCAAACCTTTTGGAGGTGGCTCGTGATCGTGAATTTCAAACAATTCAAATGTTTGAAACGCGAAAGCAACAAGAGATGGAAGAGGCGATGAAATATATTCAAACGTTAGAGTTAAGAATAACTCAATTAGAAAAGCAGAATCACGTAGGCAATAATAATGAGTCTTCAAGTCCAAAAAATAGCTCTTCTCCCGGGAGTCCGATTGGAAGTTCTAGTACTAGTCAGACCACGCAATCATCATCAAGTGGATTTAGTCTCTTTCCAACCAACAGAACAAGTACAGGTGGATCCAAAAAGTATTCGAACCCTTGGCGAGCCCCCTCTAGCGTGAGGTGCGGTAATTGTGGAGATCAGGGCCACGTTAGTCAGGATTGTACGATTGGATGTAGATATTGTGGTGATTTGGGGCATTTAAGTGAGAACTGTGATTCTTCTATTCTCGGTGGTGGTAGTGTCAATTCTGATAAGAGCGATAAGGTCATTGATCAAAATAATTCAAGCCTCATCTAATTTATTATGACTTGCTGGTCGAAAAAACCTACTATATGATTGATGAGATTGCATACTTTGCTATTTAAATATTTAGTTACAGAAAAAAAAAAATTTATTTCTTTATTGATATAGATTGTTTTAAAGCATATTGTATGTATACTTGAAATAATGTTTTGTATTTTTATATGCGTTATGGCATGATCGACGTTATGATATATCATATTTATAACAAAATATCGTGTAAATATAACCCCACAATAAATTTGATTTGGTTATATAGTACAATATATATATTGTATTTTGAGTGATTCTAAGAAATTTTTGTAAAGAATAGATCCTTTTCAAGAGACTTTTGCCCAATGGATCTTATCGTCGTTTCTCACTAAAACGACTTTTTTTTTTTTATTTTATGCGACCATAGGTAATCGCTTTGAACGAACATCCAAGTTTCCTATTTCTGGGTCTTTCTTTATAAGCAAGTTCCACACCTACGCTCGTCGATGAGTTGCATCGTTTGGTCGAAATTTCTTAAATAAACGAATTTATAAGAGGCCATGGCAGGAAATTCATATTACGAGTAATATGTCTCATGCCTCATATAATTTTATTGCCTAATTTTCAAAGAAATGAACATTGTAAAAGTAGCCTCTTTGCCGTAGCCTTGCACGACAATTAATTAGGCTCCGACGGTCCGACTTAAGTGTAGACGTTACACGACGTACAAGCAAAAGCATAATTTATTGTACAAATAGTAAAATACATCAATCTTTTTTTTTTTTTTTTTATAAAAAAAAATTACTCTCTCACTTTTCTTGATATTTAGGAGGTGGTGGTGGCAAAGGATAATCATAAGGATCATCATCATCATCTAACAAATTTTTCTTTGAACCCTTACTACCCAATTCATCGTCACTAAAACTAATTCTACTTGAACCCAACTTACTACCATCTCTTTCCAAAATGGAACGAGAATCAAACTCAAAGGCGTACCCCATATTAAAATTATCCGGATCTATGGTATATAATTCACTCTCCTCAATAGGTTGAATCCTTAAAGTGTAATCACCTTCTTCAACCAATAAAATACGTTTAGTTTTACCACGTCTAGTAAGGGCGGTTGTTTCGGTAATCCTACCATTATAAACGCTTTCTAATTGACTTTTAACGTTATCATTAACATGTATCATTGGTATAATTAATTCTTTCGTCGTTGAAGGATGTCCAAATTTAAGATGAAGATCTTCTTGTTTCCGCTTTCCTTTATCAATGACACTTGGCCTTCCAGTTCTTTCCGTATCTGGTATATAATATCTCGTGGATTTGTCAAAGGTCCTCGAACAAAACACCTTCAAGATTAATGTAAGGAAGATCAAAGGTATGACCACTATAGATTGTATATGAGCACCCTTTAAATTCATCACTCCAACCATTGTAAATTGCCAAAATATGATGGCAAGTATAAGTCGATTAAACACGGGGTTCCAAAAAGTTCCTCCCGTCTCTACCCTTGTAACAAACACATACCTAAAAAAAAAAAAAAAAAAAAAGGTAAGAAACTTTTTAAAGTTAAGACAAAAATATAATCTTTTTTTTTTTTTTTTTTTGATAGGAAACCTCCCTCAACGTATCATTATCATTACTTACATTAATTGATAACGATAAACGAGATAAGCCAAATAAAAATAAATATAACAAAACAGTAAAATTAAGGGAGCGATTATACTATAAAGCATGGCTATGGTAAAAAAAAACAAATGAATATTATAATAAACGGGATAATCGAATTCCGGTGGTATGATTAATTCTTTTAAATTCCTTGGGGTGGGACTGATGACTTTCTTTTTAAACCAAACGTAAACCAATTGAAAGAATTGAGCCAAGTCCCATACGGCAAACAAACCTCTCAAAGAAATGTAATTGATCCAAAAAAATGACACTTTAATAGCAGATTCCGCTATATCATCTAAAATTGCTGGATTAAATATCACTTTTGTTAAATCCCCCACATTTAGATAACCCGCATCTATTGATGCTTTAATCTTGGTGGCTAGATCCAATAAGGTTGATGATATCGTATATATGATTAAATTATTTATAAAGAAGAATAAATATAATTTTCCAAGGACGGACCTTTCTGATTCCGAATATGTAGTTATTCCTTGTGTGCTCGTCAACCATCTCAGTATGGCCGGTAAGATGAGAACGAACAAGGCTAAAATCATTGGTGTCATCCATGATTCAATGAGCCCTGTTATAAAGGCATTATCAAGAAAACCTTTGAGAAAAGGAAAGATTTTCACGAGATTTCCAATATGTGCTACGGTTGTCACAAAACTCAACGGGATCAACCATAGAAAGCAAAGGGAAATGAAAACGAGACGTCCAATCCATCTTTGAGTGCTTCTGAATGCGGGTGACATGGAAATATTACTCCAAATGATATCTTGTGGCATTGGTGCGAGTTCCACGGATGGTGCGAGAATTGATGATGGTTTCACCCCACCGGATGGGACGCTATCCAAATGTTTCACGACGGAATGCGCGTCATGAATCGTTTCGAAAGCAACGAATCCATAATTCAAAGTTCTCTTCTCTTCTAAACTTTTCTCCCTTAATTTGATAATCCTTGCTTCATTTTCTTCAATTCTACGAGTAAAGTATTCAATGCTATCAACCTTACGTCCAAAGATTATATGTTTACGATGCTTTGGTCTCTTGGATGTCTCAAGATCAGGTACTACATAAATAAAGAGTGACATTAGAATCGTTTTAACTGAGAAACAAAAGAAAGGGGTTGCTGTCAGTCGTAATTACCCTTCAAGTACTTGTTCAAGGCGCGCTCTAAATCGCGTACATCTTCTTCTCTTTCAATGACCAATTCGGGTAATTCTCCAACGTCTCTCGCTATAACCGTTTCAGAAATCGGAAATTTGACCTTGATTAATTCCATGAATTCTATCAACCCCTTATCTGATTGCTTGGACTTTGGCACCCCCGTTATTAATAAAGTTCTTGAATGTAAAGATCTACGATAACCTTCTGATCTAAAATAACCGAATCTCAATCTACGATACTCGGAATATTCCATGTATAAAAAAAAATACATGATAATTGAGAATATCCATGTAAATACTGAATGTGTCCAAAACCAATTTGGCTAAAAAAAAAAAAAATGTTTTAGAAAATTAATTTTTTTTTAAAAAAAAAGGACGCGTAAATCAAATTCTAACCTGTTCAATATAAGAGATGCTTAATATTTGCAATATGTTACCATTACTTGGTATCTCATAATTGTTATCTTGATAAGTACTATAAATGTTAATAGGCATAATGACGCAGGTTCCAAATATTAACAAACATAAAAAAGCGTTCTTGCATAATTTAATAAATCTTAAGAACATGATAGCGTCCAATCCGATTTTTTTTATTAACAAGGATTCATCAGCTTCCAATACTGGTTTGACCCATCCCCATAATTTATTCTCTTCAATAATTGGTGGTTGTTTATCTGGCGATGCAAATTGTTTTGGTGAATAAACTATACCATTCCTTGGCCTTAAAAAACTAAATAGTACGAGCGTACCAAGACCTAAAATAAGATTTATTGCAAGCTGTGATACCTCCCCAATAAGGGATATCTTTATCGATTGATTCTCGGGGAGAACGATACTCATTTTATTTTTTATTTTTTAATATTATTATTATTAATTTTATGTTCGGTTTATCCTGGAATTCAAAATGAAGGATAAAAGAGGAATCCCTAAGTGAGATGGAGAATTATTAAGATGTACGGAGATCGAATGATGAATCATAGAATTTGAAGTTTAGTCGTATAATAATTATTCTCGAAAAGAAGGGAAAGTTGATAATAATATAATATTTAATACACCAATGTCATTATTTTTTTTTTGTCGTGATATTATTATTATTATTATTATTATTATTATTTTATGACCTTTGAGTAACAACAAGCAACGAAGGCGGATGCGATGAGAGAGGTCGACCTTCTTTTTTGCTCAACCAAGTACTAAACCACGGCTTGGAAATCATTTAGCTCAATTCACTTGATAAGTTTTGAGGCAGTGTTGGGGCTTAGCAAAACAAGGCTGTGATAAAATTTTTCAATTCCCACGTTGAACAAATTTAAGTTGTTCGGGCAATGGCTTGAATATGATAATTACCTCGCGGAAAAAAAAAATATTAAATAATTCAGGTTTTACGTGGCGTAGTAAACATATTTCTTAAACCTTTTGTGGTCAAATTCACAATTTGACCTTTTTATATATTATATATACAGTATTTAAATTTAATTTATTTATTTGTTTTATTTAAAATATCTAATATTTAAAGGTTTGTAATTATCAATATCTAAATATGAATGAATGAATCGAAAGCTCTAAATTTTTTTTTTTTTTTTCATCGTTCATACGTAAAAACATTTTATCATTGTTTTACCGACATAATGACATTTGATCTCTGACGGTCTCGAAGAGCACATGGGAAAGCAACGACCCAAAGAAATGTCTACATTTACCATTGATCACGTAAATAATTTATTTATTTATTTAATTTTTTTTTTTTTTTGATCTTACACAGCCACAGATCAATAATTCGACATCATTATAGTAAAGGCTTCCGTAATATTTATTACGCTTGAGACACAATCTTTTATTTACCAATCTTCTGCTTTACATGTCCTTATTATAATGATTTTCAAGAAATACGTAAAATCGTTGATAGTCTTTTGAATCACATTCCAACATTGCTAGTAACGTTCAAGGGTATAATAATTTACACATTAAAAAAATGGTTGTATCCAGCCTTCTCATTTATTATAAACAAAGATATTATTAATCAATAAATATTCTTCTAGAACTTGTATCACAAAAATTTCAACAATAAAAAGTTCCAAATTATAAGTTATTTATTCTATTTACATTAATACTTAACAAATAAATCATATTTAATACAAAAGAAATTATAATATTTCTGATAAATTAATCTATGGAAGTATTAATAGATGTTAGTTAATAAAACCTCTTTTTTTTTTTTTTAATTACAAAAAAAGAGACTTTAGGAACTTACCGGAATCTCGGGCATTTTAATTTTATGAAAACTTTCAATTGCGCGTAAATCACCCATATCGTTGGCTTTTGATGTTACAAACAATATTGAAACACCTTGACGACCACTTCCCGATGCAGACACGATAGCGATGCTATTTTCCCAAAAACAACAGATAAATAATAAAGAACTTTTTTTTTTAAATAAAAAATAACTTCATTCTCACCGTTTCCCATATTCTTCAGGCTTGGTGGGTAATTCAAAATTGATCACCAGTTGAACTGATTGTTCGATGTCTACCCCTTTGGTTATTAAATCTGTTGTAATAAGTATATTGTCCTTATTCGACTTAAATTTATCCAATATTAAGTTTCTTTGTGAACTACCCACTTCTCCATGCTAAACATGATAAGATTATTTTCATGAGAAAAACTTCCAAAAAACGTCCTATAATGAATTTCCCTAAAAAAGAAAAGGTATACATACCAGAGCAACGGCATGGAAGTTCCTTGCACATAATTTATAACATAGAGAATCCTTGGTGCTATCTTTGTTGCAATAAATTATTATTTTTGAAGTTTTCATCCCTTCCAATAAATCACTTAGAGCTTCAAATTTCCAATCACTCCTTTCAACCGCAACATACAAATAATAATGACGTAGCCCCTGTAGCAATTGTTCATTTTTTTTAACGAGTATTCTAACAGGTTCGCGCATTCGTAAGGGTGTAGTTAGTTCCATTATTTCAGCATTAACATTTCCGCAAAATAAGACGGTTTGAACTATAGTCTTTAAAGGAAAATTTCTTCTCAATTCCATCGCTTGATCTTTAAATCCTTGTTCCAATAGAACGTCAGCTTCATCAATAATAAACATTTTTAAATATGATAAATCTATTGCATCCAAGTGCACCAAGTCACACATTCGATTTGGTGTTCCTATTATTATATGTGGCCTTTTTTGCACCTTTTTCACATCATCCCCGATATTACTTCCACTTATACAAAGTAAACATTCCAAATTTCGCATTGATGTTGATAATCCCATTATTAATCTATATACATGTCCTGCCGTTTCATTCGTTGCCGTTATAATTAATGATTGCGTCCTTATTGATTGTAATTCCATATTTTGTAAGATTGGTATACAATATGTAGAAAATTTATCTTGTCCTGTTTTTGCTTGTGCAATGATATCTTGTCCTTTTAATAATAAAGGAATTCCTCGTTGCTGCACTGATGAAGGTCGATCAAGTCTGAAAAGCGTAGGCGAAATTTTTTTTAAAAAAAAAAAAATGAAAATGAAAACCAAATAAAACAAAAAAAAAAAAAAAAAAAATTTTCTACCCATAATCCAAAATTCCACGAAGTACTTCTGGCCTTAGTCGCATATTCTCAAACTTTTCAATCACCTCATCAACCTCTTTATCAATCGACTATAAAAGGATAAAAAGTTTCGACATAAATAAAAAGAAAAGGTTATGTAAATTGAAGTTGATAATTCAAAAAACATACGTTACTTCTATCTGGTCTGGGAGCCATGTTTCGTGGTATTAGAGGAGGATGATTTGAATTCCGATAAGGATCATGATTCCATCTTGGAATTCTTTGAAACGGAGGTTGTAAAGGGATAAAATTACTATTTCTTTGAGAAATTAATTGAGCTACACTGGTAGATAAGGTAGCAATTTGTAAAGATAAATTTCCAATTGTATCGGAGGGATCTTTGTGATAGGTTCTTATGCTAGTACTTCTTTTTATTTCAGTTTGCTGTAAATCCACTTGAACCAGATTATTCGCCTTTTGACCATTTGAAGAAGAAGTCTGTGTTGGTTGGTTTAATAATACTGACATATTATCATTTAATATTAAAATCTGTTTTGTAAGATCTAATAGAACGTTTTCTATCCTAGCTATACCAGCCGCTACATCTTCTAATGATGATTTTCCAACTACAGATTCATCAACGAAAGATGAATTTCCTCCAATATTACCATATAAATTACTTTTTGATGAACGAATTGAACTCGTTTCATTATTTGATGATGCCATGTTTATTTCCCTTTAAAAAAAAGAAAAGAAAGAAAAAGATTAAGAATAAGTTTTAAAAGGGAGAAGTAAGAGCGTTGTGGAGAACAAACTCCCTTAAGTGAATCATACTCCTGACAAAAATAAAAAAAAATTGTGTAACGGCATTTATTAAATGGGGGTCACGAAATTGGGAAAAATAGATCTGCTATTTCCAAGAATGGGGGTGTTGGAAAATCAATGGATGATGCTAAATTGACAGTAATAGAAAGGGACAACTTTTAAATCCAAATGTTTAGATAAACTCCTCTTTTTGTTTTTTTTCCGGCAGTTCTCCCGTTTATTGTAAAATTCCTATATGATAAAGTGGTTTGAATCTCGGAGCGAAAGTCCGGTGCTTGATTCTGCCTGACGTATTTAATGCTTAATTTTCTGATTGGAGAAATCAGAATTGGTGCGTATGAAAAATTTAACTCTGGTATTTTTTTGCAAATAGCTGCAAAAAAGTCACAATTAATATAAAAAGTGAATATTGTCTTACAATTTTATCTGATTTCTATTTTTAATCATCATCTATTTAATATCACTTTGACTAAGAAATAAATCATCGTAACTCGAGGTGAATCAAACAATACAATTCATTTTTTTTATGCTTTTAAGAATAACCTTGACGATTTATATGAAAAGAACAATTATAAATAATTGATGAATTTTATGGGTCCTGGTATTGAACGCGAATTTTCGATATGATAGGGTATGTTTGGTTGGCGCAGCAACAGATATTAGCATTAATGTATTCTAGTAGCAATAAAGAAATTTTGTATATTTAAATTTCACTATCAGTTACGTACCCTCTTTGTGTCTTTTTTTAAAACATTTATAATTTACTGTAGTTCACATCGAATCATTTAATTATAATCAAGTACAAAAAGAAATATGCTAACCTATTTCTTTTTCTTATACATGTTTGACAGCATTATCATTACTTGACTATTTTTATGCAAGGAAATGTTTATTAGTCATATACTTTTTCTTCAAGTAATCATGTACTTTTTTTCAACATAATTGAGAAAATACAAATTTAATCTTTTGGGTTTTAACGTGTTTTGACATTTAATTCTGACATTTTTGGCATCTTTAGCTTTGACATTTTCGGTTTTTTAGGACAAGCCACCGCTGAAGAAACTTCCAAACGTCCGCTAAAATACATACTAAAAAGCTTCACCTTTAACGGAACTTTTGAATGGATTAATTTGTACTTGAATGACACTAGATTTTTCAATAATGCCTTTCATGGTTTTAATCGAAACCTTCATCCTTTAGTAAAGTATTTCCTTCATAATTAAACCTATCACGCTTTACGTTCAACTTTAACACGAATAATATTTGTCATGATAGGAAGTATTAAAGCTTCGATTTTTAATTTAAAAAGTTGTGATATCTGTCTTTTCTTTTCCACCTTCATCATTTTTAATATCGTACGTTGAAAGTGTTATCATCATATGTGACCTTTGCAATAGAAAGGGGGGAAACAGCCGAAAAGAAATCAATTTTACTTTATATGCCAAATATGATTTTTAGATCAAAATATGTTCAGATTTAGCATTAATTCAATTTTTATTTTTCCCCTTTTCTATTGCAAAGGTCCCATATATAGTATCTGTTAGAAACAGAGAACGAACAAATAAATTAAATACAGTAGTTATTTAATTTATTATAACATTACTTAATATGTTTATTCAAAATGCCACGTTGTGATTAATTTTGTGATACATAAATTCTCACGTTTTTCACACGAATATCCCGCTCATTTTACATTTGCAATTTCGGTATCTTTTTTTTTTTTTTTTTTTTTTCTCTTTTATGCATATATTAAGAGAATGTTAACCACATATTGTAGATTAGTAAAAATTTTGAAAGGATAAAATTACGCAATTGAAAATTCCCCAAAAAATAGAAAATCAGTGGCCGATCTAAATCATTCTGTAATCGCGATCTTTCTATAAACGTTCCTTTACAAAAAATATCACATTTAAATTTCCCCCTTTGTAAGAAAAAAATATGTTGAGAAAGAAAAAAAAAAAAATTCAAACTGATATAAAAGGAATATTTATTCCATTCTTTTTTTTTTTTTTTGAAACAAAAAAAAAAACCATTGTCTTCCTTTCTTCATTGATATTAACTCTTCTATAATTAGTTTCGTTTCGGGTTCATCTTGATCAAGATATAGTAACATGCGCGTAAATTTTTTAGCCTTGATATTGCTGTCAATACTGCATTATAATACATTAGCAAATTGTCACACGAATTTAATAAGAGATAGTAATAATAATCAAGATGAATTAACAAGAATCAAAATACGACAATTAATACCTCCTTACATATTCACTTCTACGTCTTCAACACCACAACCACAAGTGACTGCTAATCCAAATCCTTTTGGTCCCGTACCTACTCATCCCGTAACTACAGACGTAGCAAACCCTTATGGCGGAGCACCTGAAAATACAGGTCCGATTGGCGGACCGGGTGGGCTACCTACTCCGACTGCTATTTCAAGTACCCCGGGAATCGTACAAACTACTATTATCAAAGAAGCTGCTCCTCCTGTTACCACTTTAAAACCTACCTCCACCGATATCGTCTACGTTTCTAATAATTCTAATAAAAGTGTATCCATCAATATTTGGGATATGGGATTTTGGATTTTAATGACAGCTGTTGCCGCCTTTCTGTTTCTTTAATTGTTTGATTTCACGGAATTTCCAATTATATAAGTTAAATGTTTTTTATCATATACCATAGTATAAAATATTGCAAATTAAATGATGTTACGCATACTTTATTTTGAATCTTCTTAATCTTAATGAACTAATTAAATTTTTTTTTTTGTTTAAAACAAAAAAATGACAGAATTAGAAGGATTTTCATAGATATGATGATATACAGTATATAGTCCACATGATGATAAACCTCATATAATTAGTAAATCATTCAAATGAGTAAAGCTAACGTAAAACCATCGGTAATAAAACCCAGGCGGTCTTACTTTGTTTCATTAGTCGAGAAAAGATAATTTTAATATGAATATATTTATCGAAATTTAAAAGTTTCGTTCTAAATCATAATGATCGTATTAAAGTGTAAAATTTATTTGTGAAAGAAATGATGATGTTCAAACATGAATACCATAATTCTAGTATCCCTATGTCGTATTATATTACTAACAATCCATTCATTTTTCACGATTTTTAAGTTTGTTGTCCTCTTTTAAACTAAATCGGTAAATTTATCAAGAACTTAACGCTATACATGGTCGTTGTGTAATAATTATTTTCAGAACTTGCAAAGTCGTAGTATTTATTCTTCAATTGGTTTATGATGGTAGAATTCTCGTGCTTATCTTTTGACCAAATATGTCTCACGAAGTGAGTTTCATCATGCAATTGCCTGTGTGTTTGTTTGTTGTCTTTGATATCTTTAATAAAAAAATTTGTACGTTTACATGTTACGTCTATATTTAAAAATTCTCGGCATATTTACAGTATATATCAATATAAAGTATTCCTTGTCATATGTTGTATTATCAAATTTTTTTTTTTTTATTTACGTAGGCTGTTCTTCGATTAACAAAATAAATGGAGATGATGCATTTCTCCCCGATTTTTTTTCTTTTTATCGCGAGTAATCTATTTAATGACATTTTCATGATGATTTCTTTTTCTAAAAAAAAAAAATTGGCTATACGCATTTGATTAAACCCCTAATGATCATAAAATACGTGTAAAAATCATCTTAAAACAAGTTTTGTAAAAGAGTCCTACTTTTTAACAAGGGTTATAGAATAATTGCATCCCGTGATTAACTCATTACGTTCGAAATATATCTTCCTGCTTTTTATAATCCACAAAAATCATCATTACTTTAATTTTATGAAAATGTGTTCGCTTACTTAATTCAATCATTAAAGTCATTAATGATAGTTATTAATTTTCTAGAATCATTTAAAAGGTAATTGTTTTGGTCCATCATACGTTTGGTATGAATACTAATCAATCTTTTAAATATCTTGATCGTAAGCGAAAACGGAATTCAGTCCTGTTCTATGGTTTTACTAATTTGATGAAAGATTTACTGCTTTTATTTATTTATTTAATTTTTTATTTTTTAAAAAAATAAAGTTGTAAAATTAAAATTTGATGGATAGGAAAAATAAAATAGGTCACAATTTTCATTTAGGCAAAAACCCTCACATTTTGAAAATATTATAGACGGTGTCATACACATCTTTGACAGTTCATTGCTTTTAATTTATAGATATCATGCTTTCAAAGTGATATATCGCTTTATATTAAAAGTTAGATTAATTACAATGTTAAAATATGTATATGATGCTATAGGTGAACAAAGCTTTCTTTCGTTTAATTAATACAACAAAGAGGAGAAAAGGAAGCATTACATTTTTGAATGCAAATACCATAAGGTCTAATATCCCTGTCATTACTAGTAACAAAATACCTTCTAAAGTTTCTATATTAAAGGTATTAGGTTTCACACGATTTTGAAACACGACTTTATATGTCTCTCCCTCATAATCAAATCTTGTAGCATAACCAGAGGCTATTTCAATATATGGAGTAGAATAAATTCCAATACCAAATTCAATATTTATTCCTTTACTCAAATCAAATCCATCCCTTTGCGATTGGTTCAACATTACCTTCTTTGGTACCATGGTAACTATTTATCCACTCACCACCCACAGAATTAAAGGGATTCATCCTATCTTTTGCACCAAGCCAATCATTATCATCAAATTTATCAAGAACTTTTAACGCGATACGTTTCCATCCATATGGTCGATAATACTTGAAATTTCCACGCGTATAAATTCTCCCACCACTTTGCATATTTGTAAAGTCGTAGTCGTAACTTGGATCCAAGAATTCGGGATCAAGAATATTAAATGTGTTCGAACCACTACGCAAATATGTATTTAAATAAATAGTGGTGTCATTTTGATTTTATAATAACTCAACGTTCGATGTCCTTCAAGTGACTTAAGGTTATAAATTAAACATTGTTCATTCGGTGGAATTCCTTCAAGTTCATAAATTTATTTTTCAATTGGTTTACGGTAGTATTCTCGTTTAGATTTTTAATTATTAAAGACCCCCAGAGAACTTTTTGATGAAAATATTTCCGATATTCTCCCCAGAATTTCCAAAGACTAATTCCACATCACCATCAGAAGTTTCAACACCTTTGACCAGATATGCTTCATGAAGTGAATTGTAATCAAAGGATTGATAAAATTGGTTAGGATTACTATTTTTTTGTGATAAATAATCATCATAAGTAATTATTGGTATATCCATAATGTTAGATAAATAAGCGGCTACAAATGCATAAATGTTCATTTTTGAAAAAAGGAAAAGGTTAAATTTGTGAGAAAAAAAAAGATTTTATTTTTAAATGATTTATTTGTTTCCAAAATGAGCATATTTGGATATATATAGATAAATGATGATTTTTAAAGTTATGTGATTAAAATAAATTTGGTTAGGAAGGTAGAAAGAAGAATATGTGTGATGGGAAGTTTCTTGAAACAATTGTTTTGCGTAATCTTTCTCGTTACCTGGATATTTTTAATAGATTCATTCTTTCTTTTGTACTGCGCCATTATTAGAGTCAAGGCTATGAAAAAAAAATCGAGATTTCACAAATAATACTAATTCAAATATTTAGGTATTGTTACTATTGATTACAGAAAAATTTCTAAAAATGTAATACCGTCAACTTTTTTTTTTTTCGAAAAGTTTTGCCGAAAATACAAATTTTAATGTTTTACCGCAGGACATTGTATCACGTCTCTTACCTCAATGTTAAATAAAAATAAATCAAAAATTTACTCATTGAAACTATCAGAATGAACTTATTTAAATGGTTGTCTAAAACTAGTACTGCGAAACATAGTAATTTAGAAAATGATTCCTCAAAAGTCATTGACAACATTCCCAAAGTAGAAAATAAAACTCTAGATTTATGGAAGGAATATAATTACGAATATCAGGTAAGTTATCTGCTACCTGAAATCTTTTACCTTTTTGAGTTACGCTATAAATTTTGACATCTATTTGAAAGCGATATGTTACAATTGCTTCTGTCAAACTGGTAGAGATTAAAAGAATGAATAAACGAGCTGTAGTTTCTACAGAAGATTTAGAAAAAAGAAAGAAAGCGTATGGAACATGTGGTGAATGCTATAAGCCGGGCACAGGTTGGCATTGGTGTCAACCTTGTAATTCCAAAAGGTTTAAAGAAAATTTTAATAAATGGACCAGTGGGAATAAAAACGTGGATGAATTAATACAAGAATCGCAACTTAATGCTATCCATTATTCCAAATGTCTTGAATGGATACCTTTTGAACAATTTTCCAACGTCTCTTATATTACCAGGGGAGGTTTTGGTAAAATTTATTCGGCATATTGGCCCGATGGAAATATTGAATTTTGGGATATTAAAAGACAAAGATGGCAAAGGAACATAGATCAAACGGTCGCATTAAAAAGTTTAGATAATTCTTTCGATATAAGCAAAGATTCTTTAAACGAGGTAATTAAATTTTGAAAATATTAAGGAATTTCATACCAATTGTTTATTAAATTATTTAATGGTTTTACCAGATTAAATCTCACCTTCAAATTTATTTATGGTGTATCGTTCCATGTTATGGCTTAACTCAAGATCCAATCAGTAAGGATTATATGATGGTTTTGAAATATTGTAAAGAAGGAAATTTACAAAACGTTCTTATTCAATCTAAAAGTACACATTATTATGATAAAATTTATAATTTATCACACATCTCAAGAGGCCTTTATGATATTCATAACGTAGGGAACGTTCATAAAGATTTTCATTCAGGCAATATATTGTTCAATAATAGTATTTCATATATTAGTGATTTGGGAATGTGTCAACCAGTTAATGAAAGTAAACAATCCGAAGGAATTTATGGAGTACTGCCTTATATTGCTCCAGAAGTTTTGCGTGGTTATCAATACGCGAAAGCATCAGATATTTATTCGTTTGGAATAGTGATGAATGAATATCTTTCGGAAGAGATCCCTTACTGTAATGTTCCTCATGATTATATTTTAGCTGTTAAAATATGTAATGGACTAAGACCAACTATTTCTAAGGATACTCCAAACTTACTTTCAGATTTAATTAAAAAATGTTTGGATGCTAAAGTAGGAAATCGTCCAACTGCTAAAGAATTATGCCAGACTTTAGAAAGATTGAGTGAAGAACTATGGAATCCTAATAGTGAGATTAATCCTCAAATAGAAGAATGTAAAAGGATTAGAGCAAACAAGTTTAAAAGTGAATGTAAACCCAAATCTCTTCAAACACATTCTCAAGCAATTTATACTAGTAGATTAATAAATTTTAAGAATCTCCCAGAACCTGTAAATTCATCTCCTTGTCAAATTTTTACAGGTAATATTATTAATTAAGTACTATACTTTCTACGTTTTTTATTTATTTATTTTTTTTTTAAAAAAAAAAAACTTCTTTTATTTATAGTTTCAGAATGTTTAGATGCTCAAATTAGTGAAGCAATGTCAGTTTAATATTTATTTATCTTTACATATAAATTTGAATCAAGATAATAATGAAGATAATTATAATGAGATCGTGTTGTTTTTTTGCGTTTTTTGCTAACATTTTAACATAAAACAATACCTTATAAGATACAGTTCTGGTTGATGCTTATATTACCGGTTAAAAGTTATTAGATTGATAAAGGAAAATTAGTTTAGCAATATTCATACATATATTCCTATTATAAATGCATATAAAATAAAATAGCTTTACGGTGTTAGTCGCAAATCGTGCTGCGCCTCAGATGATCTCGAATATCATATGTTAAACGTGTAACACTTGTAGTATATGTGGCACATGTAACACTTGGACCACTTGTATAACAAGTATCGAACAATTTACTTTTTATTATATGTATTATTTAGTCTACTTTTCATTATATATATTACATAATATTATTAAAAAGCATAGTATAGTACTAGTTAGCAATTTTATATAAATAGACCTGTAAGTTGACCTTGAGTTAATAGAATTCGATAAGAAAGTTTTCTGAATAAGTTTTGGAACTAGATTTATAACTTTACAGATTAATAAAGTTACTATTTACGTTTTCAATCTTCTTCTTGTCTTCATATCAGGATTTGATCATTGATAATCAATTACACAAGTGAATTGTATCAAGTAAATTGTGATAAAATCATTTTTGCTTGTTAATCATTTATTTCTCTTAGGAAGGCCTTTAAAATAAACAAATTATTAAGATATCTAGTTTTATTAGCTTAGTTTTGAAACGATTTCAGGTCTAACAGTTTAGTGATTTCTGTTAGGAGAAAAACTATTAAAAGTTTTAGTTTTGAATCAATTTAGATTTTAAAAATTATATTTGAAATATAATAAGAAATTTGAGTATTAATTAACTTTATAACAATAATAAAATGAAAATTTACATAATACATGTATTAAAAAAAAATAATAAATGAATCATACCAAATTTTGTTTAATGTAAATAAAAATACAGTTGGATTTCTATAGCGTTTATTCAGAAATAATTGGATGAAAATTCTACTTCAACAATAAAATATAACAGCAAAAAAACATCCTTCTTGTATGGATATTTATTTGAAATTAATAAAATAAATATGTGTTTTCCTTTAAAAATAAAAAATGATGATATTTCTATTTTAGTATAGGACAGAATATTAAACTGCATATGAGCTACCAATATAAAAAGTGATAAAATTTTTGAATATGATATTATAATAAATATACCTACATACCTGTAATAGAACTACAAGAATCATTATATGAGGATAATAATGTTAGATCACATGATATAAGATAAAAATAATATCATATAATGAAATATCTAAAAAAAATTTTAGAAAAAAATTCAGAAAAGGAAATTATTGAAAAGCCATCTTAAAAAATCTTATTAAAAGTGAAATTAATGACATTTTTGAAAAATAATTCAGATATATCAAAATATTTTAATAAAAGATGATGAATTTAATATAAATATTTAATCAAATTATTCTAATGATAGTGATACTTATTATGATAAAAGTTTTGAGATTGAAAAAAGTAGTTAATCATATTCATAAATAGCAAAAGATATTGAATACTTAAAAGATAGAAAAATATATTACTATAAGTATAAAATACTTAAAAATGTAGAATATCAATAGAAAAATAAAAAGAAAAAGAATTTGAAAACTAATTTATATTATATAACTATATTGAGTTATTAATATTTAAATACTTTTAAGAAAGATTGATAAAATAGAAATATTATATAAAGATTTAAGTAAAACAAATCTTTAATTTTAAAATAAATTATATTTAAATAATCAAAATGTAATTTATTTAAAAAATATTGATTGAAAAAGTAAAATTACGTGAGATATAATATTATTTAATAAAATATTTAAAAAAAAATACAAAGAAAAGAAGATAAAGAAATTATGAAATAACTATTTTAAAGACTTTATAAAAATATTAAAAAATAAAGAATTAAAGATATTTTTGAAAAAATAATTCAAGTTTATTAAGATACTTTTGTAAAAAATAATAAATCTAACATAGATAATAAATTCATACATTTTTGTGATATTATAATTTACATTTAGGGCACTATCAGATATTACCTAATATTATATTAATATAAGTATCTATTTTCTTTCTCTAGGTAAAATATGCTGCAGAATCACATGATATGATTTTATATATTTAATAAGAATCCATAAAATTTCTTTCAATTTGAGTTAACAATTTCATTTGATAATTAATAAATCTAACTGAAATTAAAGTTTATCAAAGATACAATAATATAGTAATTGCTTTTTAAATTTCAGACAAAATTACTTTTAAAATTTATATATTCTTGATATCTGATAAAATAAAGTAATCAAAGTTATTAAAAAAAAAATTTTTGATATAATTTAATATAGTTTTAAAAAAAAATGATTATAATCTAATCTAACACTTAAATTTAAAAAAAAATTCTTACAATGATTGTGATAATTTTTTCTAAAAATTAGTTATGATTTTATTTAAAGTTCGCAAAACTTTGACATGCTTGTTTTGCTTTTAGTATTTTATATTCAAAAAATTTTTTTTATAAACATATTGATATTTTATCCTAAATATTAAAAAATGAGTCGCCAAACATTTTTTCTTAACCCTAAATTTAATAAAAAGCCAATATATGATTTATCATCTAATAAATATCAGGAGTTTACAAATATCTATATATATAGTATTATAATAAAAATAAGTAATCATACTTCAGATCATGCTGTTATTTGTTGTAAAGTTATAAATGAGTAGAATAACATTAAGAAAAAGATTATTGATAATATTGATAAAGTAAATCAGAACTATATGGCTATACCATTTAATCTATAATATACAATTAATGAGATATAGACGTTTTCACTGGTCGAAATCAAAAAATTGAACATGCGAAAATCAGCCTAAAATTAGCTTAAATTCAGCAAATTATCAAAAATCAGCCTAGTCAATTGGCATACATCAGAAATCGGCCAAGAATTAGCCAAAATTTAACTTATCTTATTTATAGCTGATTGGCATACTTATAGCCGATTGGTATATATTAAAAATTTAACCTATCTTATCTATAACTAATTGACGTCTGATTGGAACAATTGTATTATTCCTTAGGTATAATAGTTTTATAGTTCCTAAGGAACAATGCATTTATCGTACCTTAGATATGACAATTTTATCATTTCTAAGATACAATAGTATTATCGTTCCTTAGAGACAATTGTTTTATCGTATCTAAGGAATGATGATATTATCATTTCTTAGAAATGATTGTTTTGTCGTACCTAAAGAATGACGATTTTATCATTATTAAGGAATGATGGTATTATCATTTATCATTCCTAAGAACTGAACTTTCAGATTTATTCAATTACTAAAATAATATTAATTTAATATACTATTTGAGTTTATTTCTGATATATAGGAATATTTATATAAATAAGCTTAATTTTTTAACTTTTTAAAAAATAAT